AACCTTTTAAAATCAAGGACTCTGTACATCAAAAACATCTTACTTCAAGACCTCAACAAATAGTAACTGTTACCTAGTCTCATTTTGTCAACTGTAAGTCTAAATACAATAAGAAAGAAAACCCTTTCAAATCTGTCTGGATTCCTAGCTATCAAGTGTACTCGACACTTCAAAAGTTAATGATAATTTTTTTCTGGCATGCAGCTAGAAACTTTTTTTTTTTAAATATAAAACTTGAAACTATAAATAGTGATGCTAGCTTCAAAAAGAAGGCAGTCTGGACTAAAACAAGAGGATTAAAAAGAAAAACATATCAAGCCGATAATTTGCATTCTCTTCTTGATTTTCTTGTGCCATTCCAGACATTTGGACTTCCCAAAGTAGCATTCTGATTACTATAGTGTGAAACTAGCTTCCAAAATAGGCTACTAGACGTTTCCTTCAAAAAACGCATCTACTGAAGCCTGGACCTCATCCTCTAGTTTTCAGCAAAGGTAATGAAGGTAGCACACAAGGCATTTTAACAAACTTATCAGAGATTCACCTGCTTTCTTTGAGAGGCAAATCATTCATATTGAGTGGACCCTAAACTCTGCCAACAATGTCTTCTCACTACTGAAGTAAACCTTGCCAATTAGCAGTTTATTCACAATTCAACAAGGCTAGGTGTCCTTTTTTACTACCTCCATATAAAACAAAAGATGTCTCAGACAATCTGAATTTCTGGATTCTTTGAAAATACATTTTCAAGTTTGTATTGTTTGCATAGAACTAATCTTTGTGGTGTTGTTGCTGGGGGTATAACAAGGAAAGTAGCAGTACATCCTGCTTCTAAGGGGGGGGGGGACACTTCATTAAAAAACACGTGATACGATCATAAATGCTACCTTGTCCTGATAAACTGTGCAGGAAGGAAGCTTTCAAGGTGATCATAAATGCTACCTTGTCCTGATAAACTGTGCAGGAAGAAGCTTTCAAGGCAGGCTTTGAAGCTCTATGCTTTGCATAGTCAAATACACATCAACTAAAAACAGACCTTTGAGGGATAAGTGTCTTAGTAAAATCCTTCATAATGGCTCAAACTGATTTAAAGAGGTCAGGTAAGACCAAATTACACTTTCACAATGGCTTGATTAATGCCTCAATTTCTTCAGTCTTCTAAAAAAAATCCCACAACTTTGTAACATGAGACTCCAGTGACATATCAGT